TCTTGTAAATCTTTAATCAAGAAATAATGTGATTCTTTATAACATAAACTATGAGATGATAAGAATGAAAACTAAAGTGACAGCAAAAGAAGACAAGGTTTATCAAAGCCTTAGGACAAAAATGAGCTCACATTTAGAAATTATTGTGGGGTTGACCATAATATAAGGTAAACAGCAGAAAATTCAACCTCTATCATCATCAATGATAACATTGCCTGTACTATTTCTCCCCATGAGAATTTTAGAACATTTAGGGAAGAATCACCCTTTTTCATTACAATATTCTCCAAACTTGTCATAACAAAATTAAGTATAATGTGAATAATCATAATAAAATAATATAAAGTTCTTTAAAAACAGTCATTTTTTTATCAGAAACATCTAATACACTATCTCAAATGAAAGTAAATTAGTATATTTTAAATACATGACTCTGATTTGTGATATTAGAGAAGTAGACATATCCCATAATTGCCACCCATAATCTCCAAAATATTGAATTCTCAAAACATCTATTTCACTTTGTTCATTTACTATAAATTAGAAATAATACTACTTATTGCATATGGCTTGCTTAATACAAAATAGAGTATTTAGAATAGTATCACAGATGTTGTTTCTTGTCCCTACTGTTAAAATCTCCAAAGTCATTTGTAGAAGTCATTTTCAGTTCTCCATAAAGTTAAACTCTTACCAGTTCATTGTAATTTTAATCATTTTTCATGTGTAAGTTTCTTTTATTGGTGCATATTAAGTATAAGAATGATGGGTTTCATTGTGGTATTTTGTACATGCTTATAACATGATTTAATCAAATTGAATTCATTTTTCTTGGCAAATTTTGCATTTTCTGCTCTCTCTTTCTCATATGTCTATAATTTTGGCAGTTATTTAATAGACCCAAAGAAAAATAAATCTGACTAATGGTGAATATTAATTATATATACCTCATAAAATAGTTGAGAGGATTAAATGAGTCCCTAGGTTTAAATTTAAACAGTCATATGAACACCTGCACTCTAGATTTGTAGGTGATGTCCAACTGTTTCAATAATTATTCTACCAGACAAGCTCAGCAACAGGTTTGCTCAGATCTATGGCCAAGGGCAGCTGGTGCTGGGGACTAAGGAGAATGCAAGGTGGAGTGTGTGTGTGTGTGTGTGTGTGTGTGTGTGTGTGTGTGTGTGGCCAGGGCCAATGACTGGAAATGCCAGGGAGTGGTGCCTCATGGAAAGTGACCCAAGGTCTTTCCTGAGCTCATTAAAGGATTCAATTGCCATCGGTCCCAAGTAGAAGAAATATGGAGTTTAGAGCCTGAGAATTTTGAAAAGTTAAAGCTAGTTCATGGCTTAATTTTTATTTTAAAGTGGCATCCAGAAGAACCAGCAGGCACTGTTATTCAGGATTTCAGACTCGACATGATGTTTTTTGTGAAGCAGGTAATTAACAATGCATGTGCTACTCAAGCCATTGCAAGTGTGTTATTGAAATGTACCCATTGAGATGACCTTTTAGGAGAGACATTATGAGATTTTAAAGAATTGTCACAGAGTTTTGATGCAGCTATAAAGGATTTGTCCCTCCCTGAGGAATTCAAATGTGATTTGACAGGTACACCACAGTTTTGCCAGACAGCAAATTTTTGAATTTAATGCAAAGACATTGGCCAAAGAAGATGTTTTTCATTTTGTCAGTTATATTTCTGTTAATGGAAGACTGTATGAAGTAGATGGTTTAAAAGAAGGACCAACTGATTTAGGTGCATGCAATCTAGATGACAAGATCAGCAAAGTATGGGCAGACATAGAAAAATTTATACAAATGTACAGTGAAGGTGAAATTCAATTTAATTTGATGGTCATGTGTCTTACAGAAAACTGATATATGAGCAGAAGATAGCAGAGGTTCAAAGACAACTTTCAGAGGAACCTATGAATACAGATCAGGGTAGCAATATGTTAAATGTTATTTTATCAGAAGTTGCCAAAACTCAGACATTTATTGAAGAAGTACAAATTTTAAAAAAGATACAAGATTGTGGCTGGGGTTTGGTTTATCTGTAGAGAGCTTGCCTAGCACGTTTGATCCTCAGCACCACATAAAAATAAATGAAATAAAGGTATTGTGTCCATAAATAACTAAACAATATATATGTGTGTGTGTGTATTTTAAATATTGTATCTATATTTAGATATAGATACAATATTTAAAATATCAGAAGGGAGCATGATTATCTGCCTTTCATTATGGAATTGTTGAAGACTTTAGCAGAACATCAGCAGTTAATACCTCTTGTAGAAAAGGCAAAAGAAAAACAGTGCAAAGAAAGCTTAGGAAATTAAATGAAGAGGATACTTTCTGCTTTTACACTTATTTTTATGGCAATACTTAGTATAAGGAACTTTGAGCAACATCCTCATTGACTCAGTGCACTTTTGGCAACACTATCAATCTGTCTTTTCAATACATGATTAATAAAATTTTTCACTACCTATATCATGTGCATGTAGTGCGTATTAAATAAAAGTGATACTGAGAGTGCTTGCCCAAATTCCATTGTTTGACATTGGATCTGAGAACTCTTGTTGGTATTCTGGATATAATATATAACTACAGTAAAGAACCCAGAAAACACATAAAATATATTCTTTACCTCTAATTGTTCTAATTAATTGATCGGTTCCTTAGCTTAAATACTTTAGATTTTTAAATGTCAGATCTTAATTAAATTGGGTGATCTGTTTCTTCTTATGATTAATGAAAAAAAATCAATATTTATGTTTTTGATATATGTTTTGAGGATATTAAAACTGAATTTTTCCTCTTATACCACTTAATTTATTTTAATTCAGATCCTTTGAAAAGAGCATAACTACAGTTTCTAGTAATTTCCATTGCTTCCAATAGAAAAGGGATGGTTATATATTGTAATTTCATTTTAGCAAACTTTCTTCAAGTGTTTGTGTTACTTTGGAGAACATATTATAGAATTATTGTAGGAATATCTGAATATAATGCCTCATAACAAATTTCCAAGAACAAATTTCAATGCTTAAAGAGTTTGGTGTTATTCTCAATTTGGCAAACATTTCAAGCTGTTAAGGTGTTTGTAATGAAAAATTTGAGCTTTGACAATTAAGATTATCTGCTTTAAAAAACAATGGCAGTTGTGATAGAATCCTTCTGTGATAATTAGAACAAAATTAATATAGGTCAGTTTCCAAGAGCCCTGTAATATACAATGTACTCACAGAGGATTTTTTTTTTGTGTGTGAGCAGGGGAAGGTCATATTGGTTTTTATTTTATAAAATACCACTGAACTGTATTCATGCTTCTGGTTTTCTTTTCCAAGATATATGCTAAAGAATATTTATAAAACTTCTGTTTATATAATAAATAAACAAATTTTTCCAAATTTTACCAAAATTTGTATGTGACTTTTTAGCATTTTATAATTTATTACTATTACTTTATTATTTATTATTTATGACTTTAATATAATTTATTTTATTAGGGGGAATGCATACCTATTATTCAGCTCCAGCACATGAATTTTTTATGATTTTCTTAAATCTGATTAATTTTGGTATTATTAATTAACTTATAACTTATGAGGGGAGGCTTGTGGTAAAATTGAGTAGAAAAATTAATGAAATATTTTTCATATATAATTTCACTTGGAGGCACTACAAAATATGTGTGTTTTTACTTATTTGTGGGTATATAGATATTTTGCTCTTGATATGGTAGTAGTTTTGGAGAGTTTCAAAGCTCTGTTACAATTTTTAAAAATGTTTTCCTAAGGATGTTCTTAGGCTCATCTTGATCTCATTCATTCACTTCAGTTTAATTTCTATATTTTCTTTTATTGAGGCTTAAATTTTGTAAAGCAATGCTAGGATTATCGTAGAAAGTATTATCAATAATCACATAAATCAGTGGAATAGAAGACAGGACCTACAAACATTTATTTTTCATCTAATCACTTAATTTTTAAGAAAGGTGTCAAAGCAATCAAACAGGGAAGGAGAGTCTTCAACAAATGGAGGCAGGATAGTGGAGCTGAATATCCACTTGGAAGAAATGAATCACAAGCCCCCTACTTCACAAAAATAAATTTAAGTTGAATCATAGACATAAATGTAATTGCTAAAAAAATATAAACTTTTTTTTCAAGAACACTTTAGTGAATATATTTGTGACTTGAGAGTAGCCAAAGATTTCTTGGGTCACAGAAAGCATTAACCATAAAAGATCTAGAATTAAGGTTCATAAAAATTCAAAGCTTACTTTTGAATGACACTTTAACAAGAGTAGCTTGTATAGAATGACGTTTTTAAAATATCTTAATAAACTCAAGTTAATAGATATAAGGATTTTTTCCTTAGATTTAATTCTTACAAAAATCCATTGTAGAATTTTCCATAGTTTAAGATAGTTCATCTACTTCTTTGATCATCGCAAATGCATTGTGATACCATTAATTTGTTCTGCTTGTGAACAAAGAAGTATAATGCTTAAAAAAAACCAAAATTATTTGACCATATAATAATACTGAAAAACTTTTATTGTATCTTCTGCTCTTATCCTCTTATTACTTCTCCGCATTATTGTCACACTTATTATTAGTATTAACATTTATTTAATTACCAGGTAAGAATGAAAATTTTGAAGTTCCCATTCATTCCAACCCTCTTTCCATCAAACTCAATGACATTTGTCTATTCCAAAGCAAACTACTTCTATTTAAAATCATGGTCATTAACCCAGGTCTTCTTCTTTGCTCAAATATATTTGACTAAAATATTTGAAATGTCAGAAAATTCTGCAGCAATATTTAGCTTTATCAAATTTATTAAGAACAACATGACAGAAAGCTTAACAATGAAATGCGGAAGGAAAAAAACAACTAACAATAATATGAAGGAAATGTGTTGAGAGGTTGTTCATAATAGAAAACACTTATAAGAACTTTATTTTTCTATCATTACTAACACTTTCATTTACCAGAGAGATGCATCACTTTCTGGATGGTGTCCTTAAAGGCTTGCTTCACTTGCTGATTCCTCAGAGAGTATATAAATGGATTCATCATGGGAGCAACAGAGGTATTGAGAATAGTGACTCTTTTGGTCATTGATGATGTTTCTCTTGCAGAGGGATTAAGATAAATGAATATGCAACTTCCATAAGAGATGGAAATGACAATCATGTGAGAGGAACAGGTAGAAAATGCCTTTTTTCTCTGACTGGCAGAAGGGAGTTTCAAAATTGTCCTTATGATGAACATGTAGGATAGAATTATTAATGCCAAAGTGAAAAGCAGAATCATTATTGCAGAGTAAACTCCGACCACTTGTAGGAGCCATTTGTCTGAGCAGGATAAGTTCAATAAGGCAAAGTAGTCACAAGCAAAGTGATCAATGACATTGGAGCCACAGTAATCTAACTGGTGAAAAAGAATAACTAGTGGGAAGATGTTTAAGAATCCTGCCAGCCAAGCACAAAACACAAGCAATATGCAGACTCTCTTGTTCATGATGGTGGTATAATGCAGGGGTTTGCAGATGGCTACATAGCGATCATAGGACATGGTCGTTAGAAGGTAAAATTCAGTTGTACCCAGGAAGATAGAGAAAAACAACTGAGCCATGCAATCATCATATGAAATTGATTTGTCCTTAGTAATAATTGCGCCCAGGAATCTAGGGGTACAGACAGTTGTAAAGGTGATTTCTAATATAGAGAAGTTCCTGAGGAAGAAATACATAGGAGTCTGTAGATGGGAGTCCACCAAGGTGAGAGTGATGATTGTCAGATTTCCAGCAACGCTCAATATATATGTGATAATTAAACAGATGAAAATCACAACCTGAAGCTCTGGGTCATCTGTTAGCCCTAGTAGAATGAATTCTTTGGGTACAGTGTGATTTCTCATTGTCAATCCTTTTTTCCCCTCCGTTTTAGAACATAAAGTGTATGTTCTCCTATAATATAAAAAAAAAATTAGAATGAAATTGAAGATAGGGCAAAACACTTTAAAATACTCATAGAGATTAGTTTTATGTGAAGTAAATTAAAACATTGTGTTCACCAGTATCCTTCTCCAAACTGCATGCTATCTTACATCCAAATAACTTGTATTACCAGGAGTCAAATATTGATCTCTCTTCTTTGAAAATCCACGGTTACAGGCCATGGCCAAAAGGTTCTCATGTGAGAGGAACAGGTAGAAAATGCCTTTTTTTCTCTGACTGGCAGAAGGGATCTGTGATAACATTTAAATAGAATCTATTTCTTCCAGTATTTTTAAAAAATCAAGTTATTAATTATTTGAAAAATATTTATTTTATAAAAACATGAAAATAGTGTAATTTATTTTTTCCTTTCCTCAGTATTACAAAACTAATCTAGAATACAACATAATCAAAATAAGAGTTTGAAAGTTTTCAAAGTTTGCTTAGGCTTACCTTCAGATATTAGATTTTGAGAAACTCAGCCCCTTGTAGCTTAGGCAACTTTCACAAGTTTAACAGCCAGTCACTGTAATAATCACCTCACTTGAGAAACTTCATGTTTATTCATGGAAATGTGTTAACATCTTCTCATAAATTTACTACTTTCAAGTTTGGCTAATGCAATTACTCTTCTTGCCTCATTAACTTTTCTAGTAAAAAGACCAAAAGGACAAGAAAGGGAAACTTCTTTTCTCAAAACAATTTATTGCCTAGAAATATTTACATTTATAAAATGCATGATTCAATCATTTTTACAATATGGTTGTAGCAAATGAACAATTGGATGATGACAATAACAATTACTGGGAAGAAGATATTCCTTTCAGATAAAGAATGCCCTCTTTAAATCCTATATCCAGCCCAGCATAGCATTTAAGCATAGGGAAAAATAATAAAAAGAACAATCCAGGCCTGTTGTCTTGGGACCTCTTCATGATATTCCCAGCAATAAATAACAAGTGAGCTTGTTATTCTCTAACATAATATATATTCCATTTCATTTATATGTTTCAAATTACAATTGGCACATATAATTGTATATTTATAAACCCTTTAATATTGAAAATTAAATAATAGAAGAATAAAGAATAACAAACTTACTTTCTGGTCTTTCTTGATGATTAAGCTAAATTCTAACACCTGGGTTTCTTAAATAGTCATATTTCACAGCTGGCCAATTGGTTCAGCAAATTTATTTGATTTCTTCGATACTCTCAAAAGAAATGGAGTGATTTAACGTTTTCATGAAAATCTATAATTAAATTCATTCAATTTAATTAGAGACCAGTAATATTTGACCAACAAAATTATGTTTTTTTTTACAGTAAACTTGTTGGAACATTTTATATTAAAATCAATCCTACTTTTTATCTCACACAGGATCTATGTGTAAACAGAGTTAAGATTAATTTGACTACAGTATTCTCTCATTACTCACTAAAACCTTTTTCTTTGCATTTCACAGAAGTTTTAAATAAATATTTTGCAAACCTATAATCCTACACACAGATAATATTTTCCTTAAACTTATGAGAATATTACATTTTCCTGCAAATTCTAATTTGCACAACATAAAATGAGGGCTATTTCAATCTATGTATGTGATACAAGTGGAGTTGGATTTATTTTTATCTGTCTCTTATAACCTTGGGAATTCATTAAGTAAATGAAGATTGCCAAGCAGAGTCATCATTAAAAGATACAGATGAATAATTAGTATTGGGGTTTTTTATTAACATTGATAAGAAAAATATAAACTATATTGATGTTAATAAGACTTGTATATGAATAACATGTGATATTGAGTGTATAAAATTTTGATTTAGAATTTGATTCTCCTATTGTTGTTTGAATTCACACTTTTTTCTTTGAGAAATTCTGGACCTATCTTCAGGAATGTTAGCATGTTTGTAATCCTTTAAATTTTGGCAACATGGTCAAATCTTCCTCCCAATAACACAGGGAAATGGTAGAAAATTCTGTATGAGTTTTTAGTCTGATTTAAGTGTCTTCCAAAATGTCCAGTGTTAATGATCTCTGATGAGTGTTATCACTCTATCATCATTTACATTTAGGAAGAGCCTCCCTATACCCACAACTAATGTTATAGCAATGTTTGCTAAAAGTTGCATTTACTTCCCTTCATTGTATTGTATACTTTCACTGAACTGTTCCTTATGGTAATACATATGACATCCTCTTACTGCAAGAATAGTTATGAACCAAGAAAGTAAATATTTAGAAAGATGGTATTAAATATTTAAACTTATGTATGTAAAATTATTCTACTTAGAGAGATGTAAATTTATAACCAGAAAATGACAGTGCTATAGATAAGCTTATATGTAACATACATTTCCCTATCTAACAATTTCTTCTTAGTTTCTAACATATAACAAATGCACAAAGCATGTGTGTATTAAATTTAAGAAGTGCAATCATTGATGAATGGAAGACAAGAGTCTCTGAACATGGGAGAGATGAGAGAAAAATAAAGAAAGATGAGTAGGAGACACTAGTTAAATCATAGAAAAATTCAATGGCACTGAGTTGTGTTGGATTTATTTTAGGCATTGAAATGACTTTATTTTAGGCATTGAAATGACTGATTCACCATATTTATGTAGAAATGATAAAAACTATTTCCTAATTCTGAAAAGTGTATTTGATTGCCTTTGTTTTTAAATACAAGTAGAGATTGTTTTCCTATTTTTCTCTCTAAAACCTTTAACAGTAATAAATATTGCAATCATTGTTTGAGATTTATTGATTATCAAGCATTGACTAAATATTTGGCTCACCTCATTTTTTTTAAACAGAGAAAAAACCATATGAGGCAGCTTATATAAAAGCTTGAGGAAGAAAGAAGTTAAGAAGTTAAATATCCCATCTCCCTCATTTTTGCATTTGTCAGCCATGTAAACTTCCTAATATTTTTAGAAGAAAAGAAAGATGAATCTCTATTAATAGACAAAACAGAGCATTTTATTTAAATGTCCTATTATATAAACTTCTTTAAAATCTTTTCTCAAAATCTAAATTAATGAAATCCTTGACTCTCTTCTTCCTCAACCACTTGCTCATTTTTCTTTTCTATCTCTACTTCTTTATTTTTAGTTTCTGTTACCTCAATAGTTTTTCTCTTGATCTCTTAATATTTTACTTTTCATTTAACTGATCTATTTATTACACTTCTACCCAAAAGCTAAAAGGACACTTACTTTTTAATAATACGACCCCTTAATTCTAAGGTGTTCTGAGGATGATTAGAGTTATGATTTAACCCAATGAAACATAGTTCAGCTACCAGGTCTCACCACTGCTTTGAAACCACTGAAATCTCTGAATAAGCTTACCTTTAAAAGATGTTCCACGCGAGTGGAACTTTTTGAATGGCAGAGCTAGATGGTGGAATAAGACTCACTAGCCATCATTGCTCTATAATTTGTACAACTATACTCACACGCAATAAGCTCCATAACAGCTAAGGAACCAGGTGAAACATCAACAGAACCTGGTTGTAGGATAAGAATAAAAATTGACACATAAAAGAGGGTAGAATGGATGGTTTCATGCTATCTTTGTCACCTCTCCCAAACCCCAGGCAGCACAGTGTGGAGAAAGACACCATCTACTTGGGGAAAGGAGAGGTACATGAGCATAGGATTTAGCCATAGACCCCAAAATGAGACCCACCATGGTAAACACAGCGCCAGCTACACTATTGGCTTAAGATTTTATCCATGGACTGAGCTTCGAGACTCATGCTGGCAAAAGAGAAACCACAAGTCCTTTAAGATGTACTCGTTTTCTTGTTCTCAAAACCACCAGCCAAGTGTTATAGACCTGGATTTTGGACAAATCTCTTGGATAAAAGATCATAGCAGTTGTGGGATTCAAATTCCCACAGCACTGCACAAGGCTCAATGGTCACAGAATTACATTCCAGTTTTGAGCTATTCTGGGCAGCTCAAGATTATAAGGCCAAAGAAATATATAACAGGTTGCCGGCTGTAGCTATCCTGTGGCAATGGCTGCAGTGTTTATAGGCTTAGAGATCATACCAGGTGTTCTATCCAGAATCTCTGAATAAGCTTACCTTTAAAAGATGTTCCTTAGCAAAGTGAGACTGAAAAGGCTGGAACAAATGCATACATTTTCAACAAATGCATACATTTCAACAATAGACATCAATGCATGACCACAGGAATTAAGAACAACTGAGGAAGCATGATGTCACCAAGTAAAAAAAATAAGGCACCAACGACTGGCTCTTAAGAGATAAAGATGCCTAACCCACTTAACAAAGAATTTAAAATAGCTGTTTCAAGGAGCTCAGCGAACTTCAAGAAAATTCAGAGAAACAATTCAGAAATGTTTTAGATAAATTGAACACAGAGGTTGTGATAACAGGCAAATCAAATAAATATTTTAAAATATGATGACAAAATGCAATTCAGAGGATTAATATCAGAGCTGATCAAAAAGAGAACCTGTCAAAAACTGCAGTAAGAGAATATTTTCAAATTATTTTAAATTATATTTTAAATTATTTAAATTATATTTTCAAATTATTATTTTCAAAATATTTTCATTAGCATTCAAAAGAGAGTTGAGAAAGATAAATTTGTAGAAAGATTGTTTCAGAAAAGGACAGCAGAAAACATTAAAAACCTTGAGAATGATATGAATATTCAGGGTTAAAGAGTAAAGCTACCCAATAGGGATTAATTCAAATAAGACTATCCCAGAATGTATTGTAACCACACTATCAAAGATGAAAGAAAAAGAGAGAATCTTGAAAAGAGCAAGAGAAAAGAAGCAAATAATAAGGGAGATTAAGTAAGGGAGATTAAGTACACCTACAAAAGACCTCTCAGCAGAAATCTTAGGAGATGCAGTAGGATTATGAATTCAAACA